TAATCCCTTTTACACTTCCTTGACTGCAATAATAAGTTATTATTACTTTTTATAAAATAGTTGTTTTCATTAAATTTTACACAGCCTATTAAGCAATATGTTAAGAAAAAATCTAAACTATCTTGAGATAATAAAGAGCAGTTACGAACATGTAGCAGGGTAGTTCTGATGCTTTGACCTGGAATCTGTTTAGAAGTGTCTGGCTATTGAGTTAAAAAGCATATTAAAATAAGCTAGTGTGTATGTGTGTGTGTGTGTGTGTGTGTGTGTGTGTGTTTCATCCGTGGATCTGAGATAGCTCCTGGGCATGTGGGTGTGTGCATGAGTACATGCATCCAGCCGGGAACACAAAGTGGAGTAGAGAAAACTAGATATTACAGAAATATGTCGTAAGACCACATATATTAGATAGAAAGTTTTGGGAAGTGAGTAACAATTTCAAAGCCAACAACTATTGAATAGAAATATCACTTGCTTACTTAATCAGATTAGTTGTCATAAACAAATGACTCTCTAAATGTGTTGGCTTAGAAATTACACATATCATCACCCCTTTACCCTGTACATACTTATCCTCATGATAAGCTGAGACATGTATAAGGTATTTATTAAAATAATGTCTTAAACAAGGAAGCAGGGACAGAGTTTTTGCCTTGTCTAGTGCTACACTAGTACCCACGGTTTGCACCTCAAATGCTAATGATAGTTTTATTTGTGTTTTCCCTGTTTGCTCAACTCACCACTTGATTTTTCTGTGCAATCCTCAGTTATTTGGACTCTTAACTTCCTCATGTGTAGACACAGATAATTTATTTCTCACTGAGTTGTAGAAAATTGAATTAAATATGAATTAACTTTAAACTCTGTACCTAGGAATTTGTAAAACATTTTAGAATTGAAACAGTAAGATTATTTCTACTTACAAAGATTAGTGATATAATAATAAAGGACAAAAAATAACCATACTGTCAGGCTTGTGACATGGCTCAATAGGTGAAGGTACTTGTAAAAATATGAGGATCAGACTTTGATACCTGGGACCTACAGGCTGGAAAAAGAGTTCAGAGTCCTCTAAGCTGTTCTCTGACTTCCACACATGTGTCTTGGTGTGTGTATGTGCATGTATACACTAAACAAATACATGTAACAAAATTAGCTCTACTGCAATGCTCTAAGACAGGCAGGCTGTTTTAAGGGAATAAAAAAGAAGTGACTATAATTAAATAAATGAACAGTTTCATATTTATAAGGATAAACGGATTTTATATATCTGCAAATTCAATAAAAGTATTCAGAGTTTTATGGATATTACAAAGAATACTCTTCATGTTTGTACAACTAATTAAAGCATTCTAGATCAGTTATAAATATTAAAGTGGAAAAAAAGTAGTTGAAAATAAAATAAAAAAATTGAATGGAATTTGGGGCCTATAGTTTGGTGTATGTGTGTGTGTGTGTGTGTGTGTGTGTGTGAGAGAGAGAGAGAGAGAGAGAGAGAGAGAGAGAGAGAGAGAGAGAGAGAGACACTATTTGAGTGTGCCGGTAGTACATTTACTAGCATACTTTGAGGAACTAAATTACTGTTCACAGCAGGGAGGCTGGAGTCATGAAATGGATTTAGGCAACCTTAGGTGATCTCATAGGTGCCTACTTTTCAATTTGAAGACAGATTAAGAGAAAAGTATATGAGTTAAGAACATGTTTTATCTTAAAAAAGAAAGATGTTCTCTTTCTAAGTAATGGCTTCTTTCAGTTTGTTTACTTTGTTTATATAAAGTACAAGAAGGAATATAAATAATTTTCCAGACTTCACACCACCACAGCACAGGAACTGGAAACTAGAGTTCTGTAGACAATAAAAGGTACACCCTATTTTCCCTAACTGCAAATTCCCTCACTGGCTTAAATATAACACCAAGTTTGCAGATCCAGGGGAATGGATGTAGTATGAAGTATGCAGAATAAAGTATCAAGAGTACTGGCTGCTGCCTAATAGAACATCATCAGGTCTGTGTGATCTTTGTTACCTGAAGACACCATATTTCTAGCAATGAGACTTGAAATGAAAATGGTTCTGCTAAAGGCCTTCTGGATCTACTTGTGAGTCACCTACCTGGAACTTTGTAGAACTCCTGTAGTGCCTCTTCAGCTCATTTGAATCTACCTGGAACACATTTGTATTTTGATCAGGTTTAGAAATTTTATCTCTTAGTTTTTACTTTTTTTAAATAGTCATGGTGATTTCTCTCTACTAGTTATCTTCAACCTCAGCCTATAATCATACTCCAGCCTTTTGCATTTTAAAAACACACAGATGCTCAAGGTGCTTTTAACCTTTTCATTAGTTTCCCTTATTTATTTACTTCTAACTAAAAAGTTTTATATAGTATATCTTGATCATATTCTTTCCTTTCCCCCAGTTCCTTCTAGATCCTATCCACTTCCATACACTCCTAATTTCATGTTCTTCTCCCCACCAAAATATCAAGAAACAAAAGACAAAACATGAAAATACAAATAGATAAGCAAACAAATAAAAGTCTATAAGACAAAACCAAAACCAAAGTAGGAGTACACACACACACACACACACACACACACACTCAAAGCATGGAAGCTATTTTGCTTCGTTTTTTTTTTTTTTTTGTCCTCTTGCTTAACATTGGAGTTGTAGGAGAGTCAGCCATACTCCTTTACCCTACTTCCTCTCCTCATAGTAGTCCCTAACCTACATGAGTTCGATTATAATTTGTCTTCTTACTTCCTTCATACTGATAAAACTAACAGTGCAAAGTCCACACAGGAGCCCCTCCACACTTAACATTTGTGTTATGGAACTCTAAGTATTTTGGTGTGATACATACATACATATATTTCTTGGGTCTTTTTAAACTCTTTATCGTTGTGTATATAGTTATATGATGTGTGTGGTGTGTGTGTGTGTGTGTGTGTGTAGATCATAGGATAAGTTTGTGGGGATAGTTCTCCCTTACTATCATACCTGGATTTGGATTTGAGGGTCAAACTCAGATCATCAGGCTTATGCAGTGAATGCCATCTTGCCATTTCATCGGGTATTTTATTTAAAATCAATTCACTTGGTTAAGCTATAATCTTCTTGAGGACAGGGCTGACTGACGATTGGGCAAACCAGTATCTAGAACATTCTAAGAACTTAATAAATATTGAGCACATGAAGAGATAGAGACATGGAGAGAAGTGTAAGAGGTTTGTAACATTGGCATTTTCTGGACTACCTTGTTTTCATAACTTTTTTTTTCAAGGAAGCAGAAATGCAACTTTTGGTTTACCTGCTTGAATAACTTAAGGTCCAGCATTTGGGTGTCTCTTTTGAAACCATCAGTTGGCCATTTACAATGCAGCATACCTCAAAAATTTGTTATGTTATCTTCTCATTATGCTTACTTCTTTAAAAATCTCATCCATGTTTACAGTTTCAAAGACCACCAAATCTCTATCTCCTCCCCTAACATCACATCCGAGAGCTATATTCAATAAAGCTGAACTTATCATTATTCTCAGGTCTCCTCAAGATTATTCAGTCTCTCTCTCTCCTGGCAGTCATTTCCATGACTTAGGTGGTGCTTCTCCTTAGTCATTACACAATGCTAGACAATGGTCTCCCTAAACTAGAATGCTTAATATCTATTTCTGTTAAATTGTGTGACCCTACATGATTTTCAGAACAAAACCTCAATGGTCAAATTCCTTTTCATAGTTCATCAGGCTCTGCTCTCTTTGTCTCCCTATCTTATCCTCTATCTCACAGTTCCTCAAATACATCAGTTTCTCTCTTGAACACCTTTGGTGATGTTGTTCTAGGAGACCAGATCACGTTTCCTGTATTGCAAAGGTGGAATAGTTAGCTATTACCAACTATCCATTAAGATAACCTGTATTAATACAATATAGAAGTCCATTGTATTTTTTCTGTTTCTCCTTCATGCTTGAGCTTTGTAAAATGTTAGGCATGCATTTTTGACCTTTGCTTTCTCAGTTCGTGACAGTGTCTAACCTCAGTAGGTGCTCAGAAGGTATATCTATATGTGATATGCACGATGGGGGTAGAAAGATTCTTTAACAGTGAGACCTAAAATGATCAATTCTTGCATTCTAGCAATTGTAGTGTGTGTGTGTGTGTGTGTGTGCATGCGTGCATGCACGCACACACACACATGTACTTCAGTTACAGGTAGGAAGAAATTTCTTTAAAACTTTTAATTGATTTAAATATTAGAACTTGGGCATACAGAAGCAGCCTCATTGTCTACCAATATTTATCATCTACCATCCATGCTATTTAATATGGAACTTTTTAATTGTCCCCAAGTGTAATGGTTTATATATGCTTGGCCCAGGGAGTGGCACTATTTGGAGGTGTGGCCTTGTCGGAATAGGTATATCACTGTGGGTGTGGGTTTTAAGACCCTCATCCTAGCTGCCTGGAGGTGATTCTTCTACTAGCAGCCTTCAGATGAAGATGTAGAACTCTCAGCTCTGCCTGCACCATGCCTGCCTAGATGCTGCCATGCTCCCACCTTGATGATAATGGACTGAACCACTGAATCTGTAAGCTAGCCCCAATTAAATGTTGTCCTTTATAAGACTTGCCTAGGTCATGGTGTCTGTTCATAGCAGTAAAACCCTAACTAAGATACCAAGTAATGTTAAAGATCAATTAGTTGGGACTTGTTAGATGGCCCATTTCTTAAAATGCCTGCCACACAAGCAGGAAAACCTGAGTTGGTGGTCACAGAAGCATATATCTTTAGACTAAGTGCTATATGTGGGTATGAGAGTCTCTAACGCTCGGAGACTAGCCAGAGGCCAAATCTATGGTCTTCCTGTTTAGTAAGAGACACTGTCTTACAAAATAAAGGTGGAAAGCAACTGAGGAAAGATACCTTACATTAACCTCTTGGCCTCCATATACATATACAGATACATACACAGACACAAATGTCCAGACAGACCGACAGACACACACACAGCAATACACAAAGATACACACTGTACACACATACATGCACACACATACAGACACACACAGATACACACATACAGATGCACACATAGTCACACATAAACATGAACACACATATACAACACACATGTTGTATCATTCCCCCACATCATTCCCCCAATTTTCCAGTCAACTCAATTCCTAGTCCCTCTTCCTCTACTTTGTTTTTTTTTTAACCTACATTCACACAGTAAATTTTATAGGAATATCTTGAAATATGTGCAAGATATGATTTGTATGATGGAGAAAGAAGGAATAGTGATCCATAGGTAGACATAGACAGGTTTCATTGGTAGTCTTATACATTTTGTGCCAAGAAAGATTGAATAAAATCAGTCAGCTCCATCAAAGCCCTAATAGGGACAGACAGACACACGTCACATGCCAAGCTGCTAAGATAAAATACTGCATTCTCCCACAAACCAGGAAGGTGTTTTTTTTTTTCCACATTTAAACCTTTCCATTCAGAGTCTATAATTCTATGATTGAATAAATGTAAACACAGCTAAAAATGCTTGATTAAAGGAAAGTGGTATTTAGCAATTTTAAAATCCCTGTTCTTCTGAGCACTAAATAAATTTGGCACAATCAGCCTTATGAGGATCAGTCTGTTTACTAGTGACAATTAGGCATTTACTTTTAAAATGTCACCCTATTTAATTCCTTCTCTCTTTCAAGCCTGCTTACTATGTAGAAGGCATTTCTTCAGGGGAGGCTTACCTTAGGAAGGGCATGCTAATTACGTCTAAATCCTGTCCTAACAGATAGTCTTAGAGGATGCTCTGCTCAAATGCTCTTATGTTCAGTCATAATTTACCTCGTCTGATCAATAATTCTGCAATTTTTATATAGAACCAAGACAAGCACTTGAAAAAGAATATTACATGCAGTGAAAGAATTACTCAAAGAAAGACAATCCTGAGCCAGCTTTATTGTGTATTCGCTCCTACACATGTCTTGAATATCTTTGAATTCCAAGGATAGATAGGAAAATGAGATAGAACACTGTTCCTGCCTTTCAGGAACTGACTGTCAGGTGAGAAAGACAGCTAGAGACACAGAAAAGAAATAATGGTAAATGTGTGGCTGATTATTTATTGAATAAAGACAGCTAAGGAGACAGGAAGGCAAAGGTAAATGTGTGCATGTTTATTCACAGAATTCACCTAATAGTTTACTCCTTTCAGCCATATCTTGGGGTATGCATACATACCATCCTATTTAACCTTTATCCTAGACTTATGAAATAGGAATTATTTTTAATGTAGTAGAAATAGAAGAGAGAGAGTTAATTTAGCTTAGTAAAATTTAGTAGTAAAATTTGACCCGGGTCTGTTTGTTTCTAGGTATTATAGTTAGCCTATGTTTTATTAATGAAAGTTAAATATATTAAATGTCATCAAAATAGCTAGAATGTAAAGAAATTTCAGGTCACTTTTATAGAGAGCAATTGTGATGGTTAGGTGTGCCAAACAGTTTCCTGGACCTAACTGACATGGTTCTTAGTTGGCACTAAACATTTTTAGAGATCCTTTGTGTGAGTTTTATCAATCAAAATTTGTAGCTATGTATCATATCCAAAACTCAGAGCTGGGCCTGTGAGTTTGTTCAGCAGTTAAGGGCACATTCACTAAAACTAACAATCTGAGTTTGAGCCCCAGAATCCACAAGGTAGAAGGGTAGAACTAACTCCTGCAAGTTGTCCTTTTACCTTCCAACATACACCAAGATACTCATGTATCTTGCACACACCTGCACACACTCATTGGCACACACAATAAATAATCATGTAAACAACATAAAATCCACTGCCAACGTGGTTTCAGCCACATAGAAGAGAGCTTTTTTAATGAGGCATCTTCGTTGGTGTTTTGTTTTTTACACAGCATCATTTTCAGATGTTGTTAATAAATATAGAACACATGTAAACTTCCTGGTTTCTTTCATTGTGGCTGTTTGCACCTCACTTTTTTCCCTAAGAGAGTTGCAGAATTAATATTTCCATGTTCTAGCTATGGTGCCACATGTATTAACTAAATATAATGTTTTTTGTTTAGAAGGCAGATAGGTATATCTTCCTAGTATATGTAGACATTTAAATATTTGTTCAATAGATGAATGAACACTTGTATGGTATAACATAATGAAGACATGTAAACTAGCATAGTGAGATCTTCAGGTTGGGAACTCAGTGTACATAGACTTTGTACCAAATGTAATCCACTTTCAAGGGCTACAACTACTTACTCTAAATTAAAGGAATCATTAAACTTCTTTTGAACAAACAAAGCAATTAGTTCCCGCTCTATGTTTGTTGCTCATGGTAATGCATTTTAAATAGTGTCCATTGAGTGTGTTTTTATTGATTATTTTTTCATGGTTTTAACATTCTATTGTGTGCAAACACCTCTTAGGAAATTGAAAATAAAAGTCTCCTTTTAGTGATTTTGTCATTTTCCATTCATCAAACATTGATTTAGTGCATCTAATAGAGGCTAAATTAGTGGATTTTTAATATATATTTTTTGGTGCTGTTACTTCTCTCATTTGTAAACCACTATCATCATCCATCAAGTTGCTGTGAGCTCTGGGCTTGGAGAATGAGTGAACTCATGCTCTGAAATCTTCACTGGGAATATTATAAACAGATATTTGCTACAGCTTTGGCTATTATTGCCTTTAGAATTTTTTCAATGAAAAAATTTAAACATAGAGCACATGTTCCGGAAAAATAAAATTTAAAAATAAGAATTAATAAAATTACTCCTTTCATCCCTTTGAAAACTTAAGAGTTTCTGAAGACTCCAAAGAAAATATTCAGGATTAAAGAAGCCTGCTCTCCTATTCAATAATACATAGGATTCTGAGTTACTCAGCATTATGGCAGTTGACCCTCCATACTCTGATCTTAGAAGGCCCATTTTATGCAATTCTAGTAGGAATTTGTGACAAGGGAGTCACAGGGGACATCTGGGAGAAACCCTTCCTCCTGGCCAGTTCAGAGGGGTCTGAAAAAAAGATGGACTACGAAATTCCAAAATGGGAAATAAATTAGAAGATACTCCTCAAAGGTAAGAAATTTGGCTTTTGAAGTAGACTGCTGCATTTGATCCTAAGAAATGGGGAGTGATGGATTTGGAAAATCAAAAAGAAGTAGATTCGAAGATAAAATTCATTACAAAATAAGACAATCATGGGCTTTTCATTTGCTCATGGCGAAGCATGTTTTCTACCCTGTGGCTGGACTCCTGAAGGACAGCCCAAAGCCTCTCAGTGTTTTCCATGGCTTTCCACTAGTGAACCTTAGAACAGTACTTCGAATCTTGCAATACAGCACAATAGCTGCATGATGTTGAACACTAGAAATCTGGTTGAGGTATGGTTGGGAATTTTGCATTTTCATGTTAATTTTCATGTTTAATTGCAAAATTTGAATGTACATATGCTCAGCAGCCACCCGTATGGGTAGTACAGTGAAATTACAGTTATTAAAAGGATGAGGACAGACTATGTATAGTCTACTAACAATCCTATAAACATCGTGTATGTGTTCATTGTCATCCTTACCTCATGTCTACTTCTGTCCTCACTTTCTTCTCTTTATACTTATTAACCTTAGCCTTAAACTCTGTGCATCCTAATACTATGTCAACTCCCCATTTGCATCTACTTTTCTTTTTTCCCTCAATTAATGCAACACTAATCTGTCCTTACCACATTTTCCTCACATCTCTAGCCTTTTCTTAGTATATTCTACACTACTTTTCTTCTACTATCTCCCAATAATTACTGAAGATAAAGAGATGATGTTTTAAGGTAGATGTTAGGATATTTACATAATGGGACCATCCAGCACTTGTGGTTTCTGCAGTAAATATTTCTGTAGTAAACACTCTTGTTACAGGGCATTCTACCAGGTTCCTTGAGTAAATGGGCCAAATTTAGCTACTGGACTACATTCCTAGTCCAGTGGAAATGAACAGTACTACAAATCTATCACAACCTAGTCTCATTTGCACATTGAAACCATTTAACTGAAAGAAAACAAATAATAAAAATGCAACCATCAAAATAACCCCAGATTCACACATTCTATTCTAGAAGTGTGTATATAAACAAGGCAATATGAGCCCTGTAAAAATAACTCCTTAGAAGAGGATTCCAATGAAAAGAAGTTAGGCAAAATTTCATAGAAAGTTAAAAAGGATAATCATAAGACTGTTTAAATTAAATCAAAGAGAAAACAACCTCATAAATTAATTCAAAGAGAATAAAAAGAAACATCTGAGCAAAGAAGGACATCAATAGAGGATATGAAAGAAGAATTTAGTAAAGAGAAATTCTGAAAATATGTTTTAGAAATGTAAAGCTCATTTAGTCATATTGAAACCAAGTAGAATGATTTACCAATAGAATTTATTAAATGGAAGACAGAGTATCTGAGAGAGATGACAAGATAAATGAATTAGAATATTCAGACACTCACAAAGCTCTAGTCACAGAAAGACAGTAAAACATTAAATGAAACAATCTTTCAAACTTAGATTTTTTTTGTAGTCCAATAAGGCATTGTTCATTTGTTAATTTCTTTCCCCAAACCCTACTTACGATAATTTCTCCGCCTCTTACAAACTGGAGTCTTGGCTGGATCAATAATATATCACCGAGGTAGATGATGTCACATATGATGTCAGCAATAATCCAGTAGCTCCTGTTGTCTGGTGTTTGGCATGGAAAGACAAGGCGCACTGGGAGCAGCCAACAGTTCCAGTTATAGGCAATGGTGACAAGCAGGAGCCACAGGAGATAGACCCGATCTAGCAAGACAGAATTGATGTCATCCTTATGGAATTATACAAAAATCCTAAGAAGTTTCTTTCTTAGGCTGATCAAATTGAGACACTATCTTTGTATGTATGTGTGTTGTGTTTGTGTGTGCACTGGTGTGGAGAAAATAGAGGCTGACATTGGGTGTCTAACTTTGCCAGTTCTCACCATATTTTTTGAGATATGGTCTTTTAGTTCATCCACTAGCTAGACTGACTAGCTAGCAAGCTAGGGATCTTTTTCCTTCTATTCAGTTGCTAGGATTAAATATGCACTATGAAGACCAGCTTTTACATGGGTGCTGGAATCCAGACTCAGGTTCTCAGGCTTACATAGTAGGCTCTTTATAGACTAAAGTATCTTTCCAACCCTGATACTTTAGAGACAAGATTTCAGTATGGACTTCTATTAAATATTTAACACAGTTCTGTCTTGAGTTGAAGGCTCAAGGAGAGACAAAATGACAGTATCACTTTTTCCAAATATGGACAGTGCCCTTTTTGTTTTTTGGCTAGTTTGAGTCTATTCCAGGGTGTAACTTCACTGTTTGAACTCAGGATTACTGAATACTGGAAAATTTAGATGTGCCATTGGCAGGATCTTCCTGAAGCAAAGGATGTTTGGTCCCCAGTAATTAGGGTCTGCCCATGGAAAGTGGGAGAAAGGCCTCACTCTGCTAGAGTACTGGCTCTGAAAGAAGAGAGAACCAGTTTCCAGAGGCAATCGGAGTCCCTTCACATGTTGTTTTCTCAGAGGATTTAGAAGAGAATTTGTTAGATTAGAGTAATTAACTTAGTAAAGCCATGGAAGAAATATATATATGTATATATACATATATATATAATGTATATGTAATTATTTATGTAATGTGAATATATATGTACATATGGATGTGTGTGTATGCGTGTGTGTGTGTGTGTACATATTGCCAAGTTCCTTGAGACTTTCTTTTCAAAGATTATTTGGGCCAGAAAATATCCTAGCCTGGGTTTTAAAACAGACAGGAGTTTATCTCTTTTCTTCAACAGAGAAAGGAAAACAAACCATTTCAGATCATACATTTTAAATTATGCCTTCAAGATAGAACACACTGTGGGATAACTGAAGCTGTCTCCATATGCCTGAGTCAAAGGAGTTCTGGTAAATTCTGGTCATCCTAAGAGGATCTCCTTCGATGGTACCTGTGTAGGAATCTATGCTTCTAGGAAGTCTCATTCTTTTTAGGTACTCTTTTACAGGTACTCTCTGGAGCTTGCAAGACAACGTGCCGTGGTGGTGTTCTTTTAGCTTAGAATTGTTCTCTTCTTTTGCTGATACATCTGTAGGCATTGCTTCATGGGGGAAAAGATGAAATGTGTTTATTAGGTTAAAACAAGTTAGACTGAGGAGGAGAACATTTGGTTTTGATGAAATTAGAGTATTTAAAAATCTTCTACTTTCCATGTAGACAAGCAAAGTAAACCCCTCATGTTTAAATTAATGACCTTTATTTTTCTATATGTATTGTAAGACATGTTTTACTTCCTAAATATATACAAAAATAAAATAGAACAGTGGTGTACATAGAATTACTCAAGAAAAATTTGAGATGGAGAAAAACATAAGGAGCCTACCAGCAATACCTGCTATAATACACTGAATAAATTTATAATAATTAATAATTTATAGTAATTAATTTATAATAATTAATTTATAATATACTGACTAAAATTATTTCATACATATATTTTGAGGTATGGGTAAACAAAGTTCAAAATATTAATTTTCAATGTGTATCTATCAAATGATGATTTATTTCAACCTTATCTTTTCAAACATTAACTACTATATAATGCACAGTATTCATTGAAAACACAGCTTCTTTCCAGTCTACCCCATCTCATTATAATTAGACATGAAGAAGTTTGTCTGTTCTTAAGCAGTCATTTTTCTTCTTTCTCTAAATACTAAGAAAGTATCAACCATAATACGTATTTTTTGATCTTTTGTTCTTATTATTTTATCATACCCACATTTCTGTTAGTATTAAGAATGTTAATAATTGTCCCTACTTTTTGTGACTGTTTTTAAATCTCTTTTTCTACATTAAATTATTCTTGTATTTTTGTACTATGCATTTTGTATGAGCGTTATTTAATATTAACAATAGAACTCACAGAAGATATTGCCCGTGGGCTCCTTATATTTTTCTCCATCTCAAATTTTTCTTGAGTATGCTCCACACGTTTTTTTTTAAATATGTGTTCTCCTGATTGAACTCAGATCCTAATTCTTGCAAAACAAAAACTTTAGCTACTGATACATCCCCCTAGCTCTTTCCTTTTCTTGATGTAAGTAACTCTTATTTTTTTTGCTAGATCTAGCCCTGTGGGGTCATACTAATGCACACTCACCTTAATTTCCTTGTTTGTCTCTTGCTATTCTCAGATTTCTGAATCTCTCTCAAAATAAACTAATATAATGTACTTAGTATTATTGTCTCAGAATCTGCTTTTCTGGGTTCTAAGCTGAATAACTGGCCAAATACATGTTCCTTTATACCTTTCTTCTTGTGAGTACTTTGAGGGAACAGTGCTTACCAGTATGAGAGCTGGTTTCTAATTTAGGAAAATTCTCTTCCTCTGTCAATGTTTTCTTGTAGAAAGCAGTTCTTTCACGCATTCTTTCCACTAGGTTGTGTAGATGGGCATCAGTATATTCATTTATAATTGGGGCTTCAAGCACATTGGTCTTAAATCTAAACAAGAAAAAAAATGTTGATAGATCCCTGAGGATCTAATACATTCCTTTATGTATTCAAGATCATTAATGTTTCCTTTCTGCAATTAAATAAAACAACAAAACCCCAAATTAAAATGGAAATAGTTCTTGTATAACATTGATTGGCATTGAAAAATTAGATAATAGGTACTTGCTTCAGTGGCACATATGTTATTGGAAAAATTACAGTTCTATAAACAGCAAATCATCATTCTTGACAAAATGGAACTTTAGGATGTGGTTATAGAATTAGTCTCTGTCACTACAAGCAAAGTTGGTATGACAAGCAGCATCTAAGATGACACCATGACATCATAACCCCAGGGATCATGAATATGTATGTTTTGCTCCTAGAGTTAGCAAATGGTATGTGGCATGATTTATGTCAAGATGAGATGGTATATCAGGCTGATATAATCATGTAAAATCCCTGAAAGCACAGTTTCTCTGGCTGGCAACAGAACAGAAAGTCAGAGATTTGAAGTGTAGGGAAGAGGTTACTGGCTAGAAATCCCCCCATCCCTTGGTGGTCTTCAAAGAAAAAGGTGTTCACTGATAAGAATTTCAGGAGGTCACCACCAGGCTGACAGTGACTTCTGAACATCTGATAATAAGAAAACAGGCTTTAGTTATGTGACTACAAGGATCTGAGTTTTGACAATAATATGAAAGTAGATTCTTCCCAAAGCCTCCATATGAGGCCCTTGCCCGGACAGGCTGACACCATGATTTTAACCATGTAAGAGTTTCTGCAGAAAGTCTATCCAAGCCCCCAGGCTTCTGATCCAGGAAACTTGGTATAAGCCTCTGGCCAGGTAGTGATTTGTTCTACAACAAGTGAAAAACAATTCAACTGACATCTCTTAAGTAACTTCCATTCTGAAAGAACACAAGAATACGCCTACAGAGTAAAAGTTGTCAAGTAAGTTAGTCAATTTTGTAATGATCTGCTTTCGTGCCATCCTCCTCTGCTGTGTGGGATTGGGTTTCACATTGCTACTGGGAAATCTGTACAGGCTGCATAAGGAAATCCTCTAGTAAGCCCACACTTAGGAGCTTTTACCTCCTACCTGCTCCATGAATGTATGTATCTGTAAAAGCTCTAGATCCCAGGATTATTGTCTATCTGTCTTCTCTCTCTCTCTCTCTCTCTCTCTCTCTCTCTCTCTCTCTCTCTCTCTCTCCCTCTCCCTCTCCCTCTCCCTCTCCCTCTCCCTCTCCCTCTCCCTCTCCCTCCTTCTGTCCCCCTCCCTCCCTCCCTCCCTTCCTCCCTGCCTCCCTTCCTTCCTTCCTTCCTTTCTTCCTTTCTTCTTCCCTTACCCCTCTTCCTCCTTCCGTCTTCTTTGCTGTATTTATTTACTCATTTAACTTTTTATTGGTTCTTTGTGATTTTCCCATCATGCACTCCAAACCCACTCGTCTCCCTGCCCCTTTGTACCCACCCTCTGTCCTTTCAACCTCCCCCACAAGAGAAAAAAGATTCATTGTGGAAGTTGTAGTGTGCTGGAGTGTCTCACACAGAACACAGTTTGTCCACACATTTTTACTTGTGCATGTTCATGGTAATAAGTCGCTGGTCTGGTTCTAGGTCTCCTGCTACACTATCAATACTGGTTCCTTACTGGGACTCCTTTCAAATACCCTGTTGTTGTCCTGTGTCAGCTCTCCCAGGATGCTCTGGCAAGGGTTGGGGATAGCTCTGCATAGCCCTCAGATATGAACATGGCCCCAGGCAGTAGTCCAGACCAGCGATGTCTACCTGACCTTATGTGGTAACAGACCTCCTGCTGCTGCAAGGCTGTGGATCTAGACTTGGCCCTCAGTAGCTGCACAAGCCAGTATCTCACTATGGTCTTAGGTGGTGTAGCCATGTCTTTTCGTTATTCACACATCCTTCTGCTTCTCTTTCTTTTCCATCTCTCTGTCACATACTTGTTCATCTTAGTGGTACCAGGTCCTCTGGGTGTTTGGGGTTGTCTTAGGAGTGCTATGCTTCTCACAGTGTCATATGGCCCTGGGCTGGAAGTTGTCTCAAGCTTGCTCCTTCAGTGGTATTTCTGATACGGGATCTCTTTACATAGGCCTGGATGTTCTGGAATTCATTATGTAGTCCAAGTTAGCTTCAATTCACAGAGATCTGCTAGCCTCTGCCTCATGAGTCCTGGGATTAAAGGCATGTTCCACTATGACCAGTTTATTTTCCTTCCTTCCTTATGATTACAATTTATGCTCCCCCCAGAGGCCAAAGCTTGTGAGTAACTTTTTCAAGTGGTTTGAACCAAAGAGAAAAAGAGTTCACACTAAAACCAAAGGTGAGTGTAACCTTCAAGGCTTTCTGATTGTGACCCAATTCTTCAAGCTATGTTCTATATCCTAAATGTTCCACAACGTCCCAAAACAGTGCCACCAGATTTTCACATAAGAACCTATGTAGAGGGGGGAGGACTGTCTTAGTAAGTGTTTTTAATGGTGAAGAGACACCATGAAAATATTTAACTGGGTCTGGCTTACAGGTTCAGAAATTTAGTCTATTATTATCACAGTGGGAAACATGGTGGTGTTCAGGCAGACATGGTGCTGGAGAAGGAGCCAGGATTTCTATATCTGGATTAGCAGAGAGCAGAGGGAGAAAGAGAGAGAGAAAGAGAAAGAGAGAGGGGGGAGGGGGGGAGGGAAGGAAGGAGGGGGGAGAGGGGGGAAATGGGAAGGTGCAACAGCGAGAGAAAGAGAGAGACAGACAGAGAGAGAGAGGGAGAGAGGGAGAGAGGGAGAGAGGGAGAGAGGATAGATCCTGGGGCCTGGTTTGAGCAGTTGAAACCTCAAAGTCCAACCCCAGTGACACACATCCTTCAACAAGGCCACACACCCTCTGAAGTCCACACTTCCTAATGGTGCCACTCTCTGTGAGCCTAGGAGGGCCATTTTCATTCAAGCTACCACAGGCACATTAGTATTTAAACTGTAATATAGGTGTTTGTCTGTAGTGGGTGCATGGGGGGAAAAAGAAGTTTTATTTTGGTATGTGTGTATTCAATTCAAAGTGTCTCGGGTGAGTCATAGGCTCACATTTATGTTACCCAGAAGACATTGAAGATAGAGTTCTGAAGGCAAGAACTTGATAGTCATCAGTTAAAGGGATATTAGAGAACTTATGTGGATTATATCATCTATGCAACCTCAAGGTCAAGGGCAGTGTCTTTTCTTTATACCCCTGAAGACTGAGGACAAGTCAGACTTTTAATGACTGCTTATTCAATAAAACTGCAACTTCTTACCTTTTGCTTCACCTTATTTGATTTACTTCAATGTTTTAAAGATTTATAAGAAAGTAAAGTTTCAAGCTGTTGGGTCATTAATTATAAAGTCAGCTTACTGTGGAATTGCGACAGGATTATAATTTTACCCCCATTCTTCAACAGCTTAGTTATAATTCCTCATTACTTTAATTTAATCAGAGGTGTACTTGTAGCTTAAAATTGAACAAATAACACTTGATTCAGGGTTTCCAGAGGCTCTTGCCTTCTGGGTAGTGGATTATTAACAAGACCTGTGTGGGTAGGATGTAGCCTTTCAATATTGAAATGTGAGAAGTAGCTAACTGTGGAAAATGAGACAGGAAATAACATTTACATGTAGGTATGGATGTATCACATTTAAGACAGGCCTGGGAGGTGGCTCAGCTATTAAGACTACTTGCTGCACTACCAGAGGCCCAGATTTGGGTGATTCCCAGGCATCTCTAACTGCAACTTCAGGGAATCTGACAATGCCTTCTAGCCTCTGAGTGCCTGATTGCAGGTGTACATACTCACACTCAGACACATGCACACATCTACACATACATAAAATAAAATCTTAAAGAAGTTCTGCAGTTTAAGGTCACCATTGTAGCTTATCACAAAAGAATGATTAAAGGTGTATTTTCAGATTTATTTTTGTTTTGTTTATTTATTTTAATTTTACCAGGTAAAATTGTACATATTATGAAGGACAATGATGACTCAGCATGTGTATACAATTTGTAATGATTAAAGTGAGAGGTTTTTCATTATATCATCCAGTTTCTCTCTATCCATGTGTCCTTTACTCAATGATCACCCTTCTATATACTTCCATAAGATTAATTCCTTAAATCTCCACATGAGTGAGATCACATGGCATTCATCCTTATGTACTTCACTAAGTTTATTTATGTTATGTTTTACTGTTCATCTATGTTGTCACAAACAAAAGTATTTTGTTTTAAATGGCAGAATAATATTGCATGTTATATACACACACATATGTGCATATATTATATTTATACATTTTATTTAAGATGACCAGTCCTACTGGGAGATGAAATGGGTTGATGGTGCGTCTTCATCTCTCTCTCTCTCTCTCTCTCTCTCTCTCTCTCTCTCTCTCTCTCTGTCTCTGTCTCTGTCTCTGTCTCTCTCTCTCTCTCTCTCTCTCTGTCTCTCTCTGTCTCTCTCTCTCTCTGTCTCTCTCTCTCTCTCTCTCTGTCTCTCTCTCTCTCTCTCTCTCTCTCTCTCTCTCTCTCTCTCTCTCT